AGAGCTGCTTTGATTTACAGCAGTGGAATGGCCAGTAAGGGAAATAAGACAACACGATATATTTTCATTACCGTTTCTATGCGCTGTAGCATTCTGACAGCAACTAAGAAAGAAGCTGCACTGGGCTTTATGGAAGAGACTGCAGTAATTAATCTTCATTAGGATTGCTGCCATGGCCTTGTGAATTAAAATTTATTATGTGGAAAAAGGTTAGTGGCACAGCATGTTTGATTCGCAAAATGCCAATATTTATGGGATAAATTATTCCTAACTTTTCTGAACTGTATTTATTAGCAGATTCATTTGTTATTCCTGTACATTTCTTTGGGAAAGAGCTAGTGTGAGCTATATTGCAACCTGAAAACTTGACTCAAACTGCCTGCAATTCGGTGGCAAGGGCGGTTTGTTTCCAGAGCAGTGCTGGTAAACCTAGGCTCCAACACAAGCTCTGATAAATGTTGTCTGAAGCAAAGCCTGCCTAGAGATCTCACAGTACCACTTTGTTTAAACAAGAGCAACTTGGCTGCACGTTTCAAATGGCTGACTCTCAGGCACTTGTAATCTAAACCTTAACAGCTTCTCAAGACATACCTTGAAACCCAAAAGTGTGTTAAATACTAACAATTAAAAGCTTTCTATTTTTTCCAGGTATCACCTCAAAACACATTTGTGAGATGATTTTTTAGTAGTTAAATTAAGAGAGTTTTTTGGTGCATAGCTATCAGGGCCATAGTTAGATCCCCTGTTTCTCAGGTGCTATTCATATATGCTGGCATTTATTTAAGGGATGTGATTCATAAACTGAGCTTTAGTGTTTGAGTAATAAACATTACCCATCAGATGACAGTACCTTCCTTTGTTGTTACAGCTGTGCGAATTGTGACCACAGAAATTACCGTGCCTGTTGATAAGTTGGCTGTTAGTACCTCCTCGCCTGTGTCAACAGAGCCCATCCCAGTAAATCCTTCCGTCGGGCAGCTTCAGGCTGCGCAGGTCGTTCAGGCGGCTGAAAAGCTAAATTGCACCAGATGGTAAAAGGAAGGAATTGTAATCCAGCTGCACATGCTGCTTTCTAAGTGTTATAAATAGAAGATGAAGAGACACACGGGCTTTGGTTTGGATCTGAATTGTGGGGTTGCTTTCTAACTGCAGTGTTCTGTTTTAGAAAATAGTTTGCCTTTGAATAACTTGATTTTGTTTTGGCTATTTGTGGACGCCAGCTGGTAGTGCGTCAGTTTATGAGGAATAAGGGGCCATTTATGTCTATGGGAAGTGACCAGCAACAGAAAGATTTGCTCTGCAGAGTGGGCTGACAGGCCTTTGGTCAGTGGAGACTGAGGAGGAATTCATTTGACAGTAAGCGCAGAAGTCATCCCCGCGTAGCTGCCCTTTTACATGTGCACCTGAGAATTACACCTATTTACATCTCCTCCCAATAGCTTTCTATCCAAACAGTTAAGGAGAAGCACCCAGATGGAGTATGGGATACCCCTTGGCATCAGGATGCCAGACATCTCTCCTGGTGATTTTCCAGCTTCCTTCTAAAATTGCCACTTTCACCCTTTGTAAAAGCTACATCTCTGACTGCTCCTCCAGATTAGTACAGCTGCTCTCCATGCCACCCAAACCACAGCTGATAAAAAGCCATCCTGCAGGAACTAGGTTGGGATTTGGGCTAGCTCATCTTTAGAGGTCGCTTCCAACCCAAACCATTCTATGGACAGGCACTGTCTGTCTTCTGTCTGCATCTCAAAATTATGAACATCTTACTCGCACATGACACTCTCCTTTCCTTCCTAAGTTGCCTTTGTCAATACTGCTTTGCTGCTACTTTTTGTGCATCATGGAAACACAAGCCTTTAGCTCTCTTCATTGCTCGGTGGCTTTGCTGCTGCTGCTTCCTGTGTTATATATTCCTCCTTACTCACCTCTCCAGCTTACAGCCCTGGAGGGGTCAAACTAGTGTGAAAAGACACCTGCTGATGTGTAGATCCATCTTGGTTATGCACTACTGATTGAGCATCGTGAGCCCGCAGTAATAATAAGAAAATGCTTGACTCAGCATAATCTTCCCACAAAGCTTATAACGAAAATTAATCATAATTGTGTTGATGTGCTTGTGTTTGGGGGGAAAAAATGAGAAATTTCACAGTTCCTTCTGAATGTGTTTTTTATTTAAGTGTTATACCTTACAGACATCTGGGCCTATGGGCCTCTGAAACTGCAAAAAAGAATATAATTTTTGGTATTTAAAGTCTGCAATTTCATAGCTTGTGAGATTTCTGCATTGTTTTAATTGCTAAGATGTTTTGAAATAATGTCGTACATGAAGCATTAGTCAATTATGAATGCAAATTGGGCTTCAGAGTCCATTCAAATACTGGAAATAATTGGCTCTTTTGCAAACAAGCTAAAATGCTTTTATTTAATGAGATTTCAGCGTTATGCTTTTAAAGTGAACCCCCCATACTCTGTCACAGAATCACAGAATCACAGAATAGTAGGGGTTGGAAGGGACCACTGTGGGTCATCTAGTCCTGATCAACGCGATCACCATGAAACTCCAGCCCAAACCCACACTGGCCACTTAGAAAAGTGAGAATTCTTGGTGCTTCAGAGTATTTCCAGATACTGTCAGTATAGCTTCAGCATTTATGGAATATCTTAAGCACTACAGAGAGAAATAGAGAGACCTTTCCCCAGAAAAGGAATAAAATAAACGTTGGTAACAAGCACTGAAAAGCCATCCCCACACAAATGACAGCTCAAAGGCGGCAAAGTCCCTATATCCTTTGAAACGTCCCAATTTTAGGAAGAGTATTTGATGCACAGTCATCAGCTATTCATAGAATCATAGAATGGTTTGGGGTGGAAGGGACCTTAAAGATCCTCTAGTCCAACCCCCTTGCCATGGGCAGGGACATCTCTCGCTAGATCAGGTTGCTTTACGCTATTTCTTTCAGACAGGCCGGGAAGGACAGTATAAAGGTAGGGTGTTTCGTGTGCTTTACTTGTGGAAATGCAAGGTGTTTCTCACAGGTTTTCCCTCTCCTCTCTGTGCTGTAATGAGCAGGCAGGAGTTGGCACCGTTCTTCCGTGACAGGTAGGATGGACGAGAGAGGGAGGCAGGTCGTGTCTCACACCTGCAGTACAGTGCAAGGCCATCAGATCTTGTGTTGCACCTTCCTTCCGGTGGAGAGGCAGCCAGAAAGCCCGGTGTACGAGCCAGGAAGAGGAGGAGGCCTTGGGCTGCAGATCCCGCTCAGAGAGCCTTCGGGAACTCCTTGGAAACTGCCGTTAATGTTTGGGTTTGTTCAGCCTGAAGAAGCGAAGGCTGCGAGGGGACCTAATAAATGCTTATAAATATCTCAAGGGTGGGTGTCAGAAGGATGGGGCCAAACTCTTTTCAGTGGTGCCCAGCAACAGGACAAGGGGCAATGGGCACAAACTGAGGCACAGGAAGTTCCGTCTGAACATGAGGAAGAACTTCTTCCCTCTGAGGGTGACGGAGCACTGGAACAGGCTGCCCAGGGAGGTTGTGGAGTCTCCTTCTCTGGAGATATTCAAGACCCACATGGATGAGGTCCTGTGCAGCCTGCTGTAGGTGACCCTGCTTCGGCAGGAGGGTTGGACTAGATGACCCACAGAGGTCCCTTCCAACCCCTACTATTCTGTGATTCTGTGATTCTGGGTTAGGCTGGTTTCCAGCGGGTGGTGAAACCAGCGTTTCGCAGGCTGGTAACTAGTCCCATGAGTGGGAAAACAAGGTGGGCAACGGAAGGTGGTTTGAATTGGGCATTGGGTTCCCGTGCTGTGTTGGTTCGAAGGACAGTATTCCCCAGTTTGAGCTGTTTGTTATTACTGCTGCTTCTAATTGCTGGGTCTCTAAACAGTATTTCTGAACAAAGCGTTTCACAAACATTACATTTACACTTAAGGCGATTTACAAAATTCTTGTTGAAACTTTTTTTTTAAGTAAATAGAGTTTTCTGGGTAGAAATTTGCCAAATTTTAATTGAAAATCTGATTTTAACTATCTCTTTTAGAAAAGCCTAAACTCAGTCTTTGTAGTTCCATTTTTATTTTTGTTATACTCTTTAAAATACAAACATGAGAATCTGAGAATGCCGTTTTGTTTCAGTTGACTTGTTTGGAGAGAATGGTTTGGGAGGCGAGGGGTTGCATTCTGCGTTTTTTAGTATGAATTCTACCCTAAGCACAGGACAACCAGCTTTCTGTAACCTGCTACATGGATATTAGCTCTTAGAACAGATTTTGTTAGATCTGATTATTTTAATCTTAGATATGATGATCTATAGCAAAATTTCTATGTTATGGACAAAAGCTGCACAAAGATACATGAAAGCTTGGGCTTTTTTCCTGTTGCTGTCATGTGGCCATGTGATAGAAGTCAAAGTATTAAAACAGGTACGCAACCATTTTGTCCAGACCGAAGGCTGCAAAAGGCAATTAATTCAAGTTTTAAGAAAAGCAGCAGAAGAAATAAGAATTTACCAGGGAAAATAACCATGTCTGAGTTTTTCTTTTCCTCTCATGGCAAAGAGGTGGTTAATGGCTTCCCAGGAAAGCCTCTGAAAGAAGGGGAAAGAGGGGCTAGTTATCACATTTTCATTTTTGTCACTTATTTATTTTAGACAAGATCTTGAATGCATGTCAAGGCCCACTGACACGGCACTAAATCAGTTTTGTCAAGTTGTCTGTCACTCTGTAAGACAGCAAATATTGGATAAGACTGATACCAATATCTTGATATACTGTAATCAGTTAAGACAGCAGAACATCCACTGCCACCTTGGCCTGAAAGCAGTTCTAATTTAGACATTCAGAGTTCATCAGCTTCTGTGCTTCACTCTTCTGAATTGTAATTTTGTTTGCTCTTATCTTGACATAAATTTGCCTTGTTTAAAATGAATTGTTTGATTACCTGATGATATTGATTACCACAGTTGTTAGAAAGACTAATTGATTTGTTTCTGCAGTGAACTTGAGGGGACGAGTGGAAGAAAGAAAAGAAGCTACAGCAACAGTGCCGCAGCAGAAGAAATGCCGCTGAAAAGAAAGAAGACGAAGTTCAGCCAAGAGGAGGACCCCTGTTTGCCATTAGATACTGGACTTTCTCTGGCGGAGGACGAAGAGCTTGCACTGCGTCTGCTCAGCAGTCACAGCTAATTATGTTTCTGCACGTTTTCTTTTCTGGGACATCTCCACAATTTTGTCAGTAGTCTACACAAAATGAGTTTGGCATTTGGGTAGCTGGGTACTGGTGGACGTAGATAAATGAGTTCCGTGTGCAATGGGATTGCCTTGAATTGGCTCATAGATTATAGACAATATTTGGTTTGATTTATAGGACTTTCTAAACGAACTTTCCAACCTAAATCTCCCAATGTCATTTTGCAGTAACACGTTCATAGTTTAAAATCTCCAAGTTATGAAGCAATTATCTTGTTTTATTTTAGTCTTGCTTTAAATAAAAACAGCGTGCTCCTTTCTTCTCCGTGTTGGGTTTGTTATTTTAGAAGATAAATGTGTACTAAAATTATTGAAGAAGAAATACTGTTGGCAGCTCAAATCATATAACTTAAAAATAAAACACATTTTTTCTTCTGTGTATCATGCATATATTTTAAAAATATTTTAATAAAAAATTTCTGAAGCCTTGATGTAAACTTTTGGTGAGCCTTTCAGCTTTGTTGTCATTTCTATTATGATTCTGTCCCTACCACTTTTAGAAGCTAAAACTGATTCTTGCATTTGAATCCCATATGAATGAGAGCACAGTGATGCCACAAAAAGGTAGAGCATAACACTGTCTGATAAAATTGGTTACGAGGTAGATTTTGTGGCAGACTTACAACTGGAAGCTAACTATGTTTTTTTGTTATGACCAAACATAATGAAGAAAAAGATTTTATTGTTGAGCATATTTTCAAGTTTCTTCTGATCAAACCATGGTTGATGTTGCAGATTTTGTGCATGCTTACCTGTAGCGGCTGCACCTGGATGAACAACACCAAGTCATAGGCTGTGTGAGCCCTGTCCCAGGGAAGGGAAGAAGCGGACATTCTCTCTGAAGCAAAGCAAAATATCAATACAATACCAAATTCTTAGTTATTTAAGTTGATTTTCTTCTTTTCCTTGCACCCAAATGCCAGCTGTGAGCCAAATTTGCTGTTGTCTTGCTTGCATTCTCGACTACTGCCTCAAGAATATTGGCACATTGTTCAGAAGAGTGCATGGTAAATGGAGAATGATGAAAACTGCTGAGTTTGGCACATCTCGAAATCGACCTAGGCACAAGGAAGGCTGCTGTGCACGAAAACTAAGGAGAGCAGGAAAATCCAGTGTTTTGTTTGCTGACACAAGTTTTTTGACAGCAAGCAGGCATGTAAAGTGATGATTTTCTGTTTTCAGCAGACCCGTGGCTTAGTGAAGTTTACATGGCGAAACAGAGAGTAAAACACAAATGCCTGAGGGCTTTCCCCTGTTGCTTCTCTTCAGCAAATCATAAAGTACACATTGTTTCAAAAAGTTTTATGTGTTTGGTCTTCCCATCACCTATATGAAGAAGATATTAAAATAAATACTTCTTTTTTTCAGTAGGACTTTTTTGTTATAGAAATCTATCAGCACCAATTCAGTAAAAGCCTTTCTTCCTCTCCCTGTACCATCTTTTAGCTCAGTTACCCAAAACTGAAAATATGTTGCAAATTCTTGTCTCCAAATGTTGCTTCTGCTGTTCTGCCAGCAGGCAGGGTGTCATCAAAACAACATTATGGGCAGAGCACATCTGCCATCTGCTCCTCCCTGACAGTGTGGAACGAGAAGAAATGACCGAGTTTCACAAACAGCTAAACATGAGAGATGGGACCTGCATGGCAGCTGATGCACAGTGATGTTTGCTCTGGGGTGCCACGGTGGCCTGGAAAATGCTGTGGTCTAGCAATAGTGTTCCTGGTGAATCCGTGTCAGGCTTTGACCTGGCAGCTAGGACCACGCAGCCGCTTGCTCGCTCCTCCCAACCCCCAGTGGGATGGGGAGGAGAATGGGAAAAAAGTAAAACTCGTGGGTTGAGATAAAGACAGTTTAATAAGACAACAAGGAAAGGAATACTACTACTACTACTAAAAAATAATATGCAAAACAAGCTATACATGATACAATTTTTCTCACTGCCTGATGACCGACCGCATAACCATCCCTGAGCAGCAAGTGTGGAACTTGTGGATTTCATGGAGCTCACAAAGAAGCTCGAACTCCCAGAAAAGCGTTGAACTCATGGAAAAAAACAAGAGAGTTCCTTCCCACCAGCCAACCCCCATTCATAAACTGAGCATGATGTCTATGGTATGGAATATTTCTGTTGGCCAGTTTGGGTTAGCTGCCTGGCTGTACTCCCCCCCCCAGCTCCTGCACACCGGGTGAATATAGGAAACTGGAAAAAGTCCTTGATTTCCTAGCAACAACTAAAACAACAGTGTATTATCAGCGTTATTCTCCTACTAAGTCCAAAACACAGCAGCTACTGAGAGGAAAATTGACTCTATCCCATTCGAAATCAGGACAATCTGTTAATGAAGAAGACTCCAGTATGATGCTGTTGTGACTGTGCTTGGGCTCCATCACGTGAGTGGCTGCAGCGAATGTGGTGAGTGATGTCCACAGATGCCTCTGCGCTGGGGTAACAGAGGTCCTGCTGCTGCAGTCATGTAGGAAGGCAGTGAACTTCAGCGCAAGGAGCATCAACAGGAGAAAGCTATTCAAAGATGAGCGTAATATAGATGACAATACATACACTGGTGAGTACATCTTCTTTGTAGATTCATAGCGTACTTTGTGGTGAGCAGTTGTCTTGCACATCGCTTGATGTCTCTCAGCTCGGGTCTTTGCTCTGAGAAGGTTGGACATAGTTTGTTGGGAACGAGCAGAACAAACAAAAGATTTGCCACTTCTTTCTGGACCGTTCCCATTTGTATGCTGGGGTGCAAGAGAAGTATTCTTACCCACCGAGCAGTAAGACTAAAAAATTTTGTATGTATATTGGAAGGATTGGGCTGCACTTCTATTTCTGTGATGCTTTCATTGTCTGCATAAAATAATTTTTTAAGTGCTCTTTTGTGTTTTGGGATAATGGAGTTTCTAATGTATTTGTGTTGTCTAATATAGAGCCATTGTTTCTTGAATCCTGACGAAGTTTGTCCATCTACTTCAAGCAGAGCTGTCCTTGAGGGGAGGCATATATCCAGGGCGTGACTCCCACGAGAATGGAGCCAGGTGAAAAAGCAGAGGGAAGGAGCTGAAGGCAGATGCTCCATGCAATCAGTGCATCCAAGATCTGGGAGCTGCTGCGTGCGCCAGAAAGAACAAGACCAAACAAAAGCCAGGATTCAGCTTTTTGAGGCAGTGGCTGTGGTTCTGGGTTTTCATTCGTGTCAGCTTCTGACCAGCCCTGCTTTTAGCTGTGTTTCTGGAGTAAGAAAAAAAGTGCAAAGGACACAAAAGAAATATTCATCTCAGAAATGCAAAGACTTGACTGAAGGGTGTTTTCCAGGAAGCTTGTTTGTGTTTCACACCTATGGACCTCTCAACCTGCTGCCAAAAGACCTGGCGTGGGTGTCCAGGGCTAACGGGCACGTGGATTGGGGCCAGCTAGAGATGCCACCCATCATCTCCCTTTCTCCTGGTCCCAGCTGTGGCACGTGCTGCTGTAGCATCAGAACAAATCCCAAGCTTTTGCAAGTTTGTACTTCACATGCATTATAATCCCAGCTTTACACAGGAGAAAGGGAAGTGTGGAAATCACCTGGCTTGCCTGTAATTGGACTTCATTGATGACTTTATGTAGTTGAATTCATAACTCCTAAATCCCTTGTGATTTAGCAAGAGCAGCCTCTCACCTGGCGTCTGGACTGCCTTCTCTGCAGGACCCTACCCTTCAGGTGTCGCAGTGCCTGGCTCTGTGAGCACCCTGGGGTGGGTTTGAGGCTTCTTCTCACCCCTGTAGGCTGCAGCCCTCCACGAGGAGGGAAGGGAAAGGCCCCTCTGGGGACTGCTTTAGGATGAGTAGCAAGATCTGAGCATGGTGGTGAGTATTGTCCAAGGCCACTGCCCAGGAGAAATCCTTAAATCGCCAAGCAGGAAATTTAAAAGATGAATTTTCATATCAGTTTGCATTGGTACTTTATAATAATTGTGGTTGATTTCCTTCTGCTGCTAGAATGGTTTCAATGTGTTGAGTCATAGCTGGGCGTAACGTTAAGACTGAATCTGGTACATTTAGCTAATTCTGAGGGTGTACATTAGGCATTTGTATAATGGTATATTTTAGCAGGCTTTTATTAAGTCAAGTTTTCTCTTTGTTGCATGCAAAATAATAGAGACATTTGTTTACTGGATAATTTATTACAATTTATTTGAAGCCTCTTTTGGATGGAAACTGGAAGTCAGATAAAAGTCGTGATGGCATTGAGGAGTTTGAGTTTTTTAATTAGTTAAATAGATTAACACTGAATGTGCTAGCTACTGAAGGTGTCCAGCGTGCAGTATTTTCACAAGACATATAAAATGCATTGTTGCAGAGATGCCTGTCTGCCTCAGCGTCACCGAAATTTCTGTTAGGTGTTCGCTTTGTAAAGGCCTTGTTGATGCTGCCCTTTTAAATTGTGTGAAGAGGGTAAGAAATTTACGCTCTAACACAAATCATTGCAAATTAATATTTAACATTTTAAATTAGTGTTTTCCTTTAAATATTGTATGAATAGAAATAAAAATAATTTTTATTCCTCCTGCAACTGTCTGATTCTAGCTAGAGCATTGACTGGTGTGTCCTGCTCGCTGGCCAGACTCATAAAGAGAGACGCCCGAAGCAAAACATTAAAAACCAGAGTGCTGTGGTAGAGAACATTCCATTCAGACTATAAAAAACAGTACAAGATCTGAAGATACTGAAGTGACCCTGTGGGTTCCTATAATCCTGGCTACATATGATAAACTGGTGTAAAACACAAGAAGAAAATGTCTCTTAGTAAAGGTCACAAATGGGTATTTTTCCTTATCGTGCTGCTCTCTGGTTTGACATGATTGTTCCTTATTTCTCGTGAGAGGCTGAGCACGCCTTGTAGCAGGGATGCTCAGCTCTGGGGGGCTGCTGCTGCAGAAATGGCTGCTGC